CGTGCTTGCAACAGTCGATGTTGGGTGTTGGTATATGGTAGAGAGAGAAAGAGAGACTTGTGTGAAGACTCGCCTTCTCACATGTGAAAAGGGCCTCATATCATCTCTCTCTCTCTCTCTCTCTCTCTCTCTCTCTCCCCTCTCCCTTCCTCCCCCCATCTCCCTCTTCCAGCCGCACACACGACCGTGCTCAGCAACATCGCTTCATGCGGGTCTCCTTCCTCGAGGCCTCTTTGTCTAAGCACCCATGGTGAGCCGGGTGCATCGCCGATGATCCCGTGTGTGCAACAGGTGTGGTTGCAGCAATGTCACCGATAACGGTGTGCTTGCATCAGTTGATGTTGGGTGTTGGCGACTTCATCGAGAGTAAAACAGAAGGGTGAGGTAGACTGGATAAGGATGACACCTCAGTGTGGGGGAGATATTGTAAGAGATGGGCGGTGGTTTTGTGGGGATCAGACGTAAGGGTGGAGCACAAACCAAGGCACACTAGAACAGTTGTACAAACAATGAACAAAATGCTTTGATCAGCCACCTCATGACGATAAGCGTTTTTGCTCTTTTTCATTGGAAAACCTGACAACCTCACTATCTAAGTTGGGGACCAAGAAGGAATTCTCTAATCATGTGCAGATATTGCCATACTGATCATTGCTTTTTCAGGAGATGTACTGATCATTGGTTGCTACAAAGAACTCTACGACTTTTACCAGCTAAAATTTACCTCACCAATTGATTTAGTAATGACAGATCGCTTCTTAGGTTTGTTTGAGGGATCATTGCTAATTGTTTATTTTCTTATTATTATTGGCCAAATTATGAGTAAATGAAATGAAAATGATCCAATCCAACCGACCGGTTGAAGACTCGCCTTCTCACATGTGAAAAGGGCCTCATATCATCATATCATCTCTCTCTTTCTCTCTCTCTCTCTCTCCCCTCTCCCTTCCTCCCCCATCTCCCTCTTCCAGCCGCACACATGACCGTGCTCAGCAACATCGCTTCATGCGGGTCTCCTTCCTCGAGGCCTCTTTGTCTAAGCACCCATGGTGAGCCGGGTGCATCGCCGATGATCCCGTGTGTGCAACAGGTGTGGTTGCAGCAATGTCACCGATAACGGTGTGCTTGCATCAGTTGATGTTGGGTGTTGACGACTTCGTCGAGAGTAAAACAGAAGGGTGAGGTAGAGTGGATAAGGATGACACCTCAGTGTGGGGGAGATATTGTAAGAGATGGGCGGTGGTTTTGTGGGGATCAGACGTAAGGGTGGAGCACAAACCAAGGCACACTAGAACAGTTGTACAAACAATGAACAAAATGCTTTGATCAGCCACCTCATGACGATAAGCATTTTTGCTCTTTTTCATTGGAAAACCTGACAACCTCACTATCTAAGTTGGGGACCAAGAAGGAATTCTCTAATCATGTGCAGATATTGCCATACTGATCATTGCTTTTTCAGGAGATGTACTGATCATTGGTTGCTACAAAGAACTCTACGACTTTTACCAGCTAAAATTTACCTCACCAATTGATTTAGTAATGACAGATCGCTTCTTAGGTTTGTTTGAGGGATCATTGCTAATTGTTTATTTTCTTATTATTATTGGCCAAATTATGAGTAAATGAAATGAAAATAATCCAATCCAACCGACCGGTTGAAGACTCGCCTTCTCACATGTGAAAAGGGCCTCATATCATTATATCATCTCTCTCCCTCTCTCTCTCCCTCTCTCTCTCTCCCCTCTCCCTTCCTCCCCCCATCTCCCTCCTCCAGCGGCACACACGACCGTGCTCAGCAACATCGCTTCATGCGGGTCTCCTTCCTCGAGGCCTCTTCGTCTAAGCACCCATGGTGAGCCGGGTACATTGCCTATGATCCCGTGTCTGCAAGAGGCGTGGTTGCAACAACGTCACCGATAACGACGTGCTTGCATCAGTCGATGTTGGATGTTGGTGACCTCATCGAGAGAGAAACAGAAAGGTGAGGTAGAATGGATAAGGATGACTCCTCGGTGTCCATGTGGGGGAGATGTTTTAAGAGATGGGCGGTGGTTTTGTAGGGATCAGACGCAAGGGTGGAGCACAAATCAAGGCGCAATGAAACAGCTGCACAGACGATGAACGGAATCCTTCGATCAACCACCTGATGACGATAAGCGTTTTCGCTCTTTTTGGCTGGGAAAACCTGATAATCTCACTACCTAAGTTGGGGACCAAGAAGGAATTCTCTAATTGTATGCACATACTGCCATACCGATCATTGCCTTTCTAGGAGATGATGTATTAATCATTGGTTGCTACAAGAACTCTACGACTTTTACCAGCTAAAATTTACCTCACCACTTGATTTAGTCATTACAGATCACGAATTCAGTTTGTTTGAGGGATCATTGCTAATTGTTTATTTTCTTATTATTATTGGCCAAATTATGAGTAAATGAAATGAAAATGATCCAATCCAACCGACCGGTTGAAGACTCGCCTTCTCACATGTGAAAAGGGCCTCATATCATCATATCATCTCTCTCCCTCTCTCTCTCTCCCTCTCTCTCTCTCCCCTCTCCCTTCCTCCCCCATCTCCCTCTTCCAGCCGCACACACGACCGTGCTCAGCAACATCGCTTCATGCGGGTCTCCTTCCTCGAGGCCTCTTCGTCTAAGCACCCATGGTGAGCCGGGTACATTGCCTATGATCCCATGTCTGCAAGAGGCGTGGTTGCAACAACGTCACCGATAACGACATGCTTGCATCAGTCGATGTTGGATGTTGGTGACCTCATCGAGAGAGAAACAGAAAGGTGAGGTAGAATGGATAAGGATGACTCCTCGGTGTCCATGTGGGGGAGATGTTTTAAGAGATGGGCGGTGGTTTTGTAGGGATCAGACGCAAGGGTGGAGCACAAATCAAGGCGCAATGAAACAGCTACACAAACGATGAACGGAATCCTTCGATCAACCACCTGATGATGATAAGCGTTTTCGCTCTTTTTGGCTGGGAAAACCTGATAATCTCACTACCTAAGTTGGGGACCAAGAAGGAATTCTCTAATTGTATGCACATACTGCCATACCGATCATTGCCTTGCTAGGAGATGATGTATTAATCATTGGTTGCTACAAGAACTCTACGACTTTTACCAGCTAAAATTTACCTCACCACTTGATTTAGTCATTACAGATCGCTAATTCAGTTTGTTTGAGGGATCATTTCTAATTGTTAATTTTTCTTATTATCATTGGCCAAATTATGAGTAAATGAAAGGAAAATGATCATCGGTTGAAGACCCGCCTTCTCACATGTGAAAAGGGCCTCATATCTGTTGGGGAACGTAGTAATTTCAGAAATTTTCCTACGCACACACAGGATCATGGTGATGCATAGCAACGAGAGGGGAGAGTGTGTCCACGTACCCTCGTAGACCGAAAGCGGAAGCGTTAGCACAACGCGGTTGATGTAGTCGTATGTCTTCACGATCCGACCAATCAAGTACCGAACGCACGACACCTCCGAGTTCAGCACACGTTCAGCTCGATGACGTCCCTCGAACTCCGATCCAGCCGAGCTTTGAGGGAGAGTTCCGTCAGCACGACGGCATGGTGATGATGATGATGTTCTACCGATGCAGGGCTTCGCCTAAGCACCGCTACGATATTATCGAGGTGGATTATGGTGGAGGGGGGCACCGCACATGGCTAAGAGATCCAAGGGATCAATTGTTGTGTATATGGGGTGCCCCCTCCTCCGTATATAAAGGGGGGAGGAGGAGAGGTCCGGTCAAGGGGAGGAGGCGCGCCCAAGGGGGGCAATCCTACTCCAAGTAGGATTCCCCCCTCTTTCCTAGTCCAAGTAGGAGAGGGAAAGGAAGGGAAGGAGAAGGAGACAGAAGGAGAGGGAGGAAAAGGAGGAAAGGGGGGCCGCCCCCTAGTCCAATTCGGTTTGGGCTAGGGGGGCCGCGCGCCCTGCCTCCTCTCTTCCACCACTTGGCCCATGAGGCCCATTGCTTCTTCCTCGTATTCCCGTAACTCTCCGGTACCCCCGAAAATACCCGAATCACTCGGAACCTTTATGATGTCCGAATATAGTCGTCCAATATATCAATTTTTACGTCTTGACCATTTCGAGACTCCTCGTCATGTCCCTGATCTCATCCAGGACTCCAACTACCTTCGGTACATCAAATCACATAAACTCATAATACAATCGTCATCGAACTTTAAGCGTGCGAACCCTACGGGTTCGAGAACTATGTAGACATGACCGAGACACGTCTTCGATCAATAACCAATAGCGGAACCTGGATGCT